ATTTTTACATTTAAAACGAAAAGTGGCTTTCGTTCATATTCAGTCGAAACCTTTGACTCGAATGATTATCTCATTGGGTTGATTTTCAGCTCGTCGGCAGTCTTCACAGTGGCTATCTCCAAATTGATCTATTCAACAGCACTGGTGACAGTATACTCAACAAACCATTCACTACTCATTTTCTTGGTATGTGAAACGAGTCTTGCTCAATGTCCAGATCCACCCGAACATTGCTCTTCATCCCATTCATGAATATGGCTCCTTTCTAAATTTGGGTGTGCAAATTGTGGTCTTCGGGATCCGAAGTGGAGTGCGCCAGACGCTTCACGTTGGCTGAACCCTAGAAATACCAAACAGAATACCACACCCACATGTTCCACCACATATTCGGGGAGGACTGTGCCTTAAGCTCTGTTACCAATTGTAGGGAAGGAAGGCTTGCTTGCTCCATTCCTGTAAAAAAGTCCTTCCTAGAAATACCAAACAGAATACCACACCCACATGTTCCACCACATATTCGGGGAGGACTGTGCCTTAAGCTCTGTTACCAATTGTAGGGAAGGAAGGCTTGCTTGCTCCATTCCTGTAAAAAAGTCCTTCACTACCGGCCTACCAGTAGATCGTGTCAGTATCCATGAGCGATGGGTCCATTCGCATTCGTATGCTTGACAGTAGCTTTTAAAGCCTGAACCACATTCACTTACGACGATTGTAGGAGGATCAATCCACTATTCACCTATCATCAGAGGTTTCAGACCAAAATGTTGAGCACAGCTTAGCCATACGCATCAACACTGGAGCCAAGACGTTGTCCTACCGATTGGAATCAACACCGGACCATGTATGCGAAATCACAGAAGATATTAATCTACAGGACGCTGAGGTGGTGCCCACACTAGGAGGAGGAGGTATGAGCACAGAGTCCCAGTCAGACAAGGGCCAATAGGTCTGTGATGATAGATTTTTCAGGGAACTCGATGATTGGCTGTGTGACGTTGATTACGGTAGAAGTGGGCTGGGCGACTACGGCGCCTCATCACGTTATTCCAATAGCTTCAAACGAAATCGATGAATGTTCTGAAGCTAACGAATGCGCTCATAGAGATTGTAATAAAGTGAGAAGAATCGATCGATTTGACCCACCTACTATGACTTTTATTGATTATATCGATTTATCGACAATTCTTCTTCAGGGTAGATGTATCGAACTTGAAGTGGCCACATGTGACTGTTACGGTACAGAAAAGTCTGGCCCAAATTGTCGTTACCGTAAGAAGCTTTGAATATTCGATTAACACTTCTGTTTTCTTTGTTTTCCTTTTTGTATGTTTCAAATAGTTAACAATGTTCCCAGGCGTGCTGTGAATCATAAATGGGGATTTCGTTACACTTTCCCATACATATTTAGGCTGCTTGACGTGGCAGGGTCTAGGGATGGGTGACCATTGCGCTCGAAATGCCATTAAGCTCAAGCAAGAAGGGATGTTCCTCGATGATGACTGTTAGGGTAGATCTTTAGAAGGCGTGACCAAAATTCGTTTGTGAGAGAGTGTTTTTAAGCTCAACACAAGTTAAATGTCATCAGGGGGTAATAAATCAATTTTTGCACGGTATTGGACACCTGCATTTTTTTTTGCCCTCGAATTTTTTCGTAGAGTCATAGGTGCCAAGTCAGCGATAGTCAAGCTGTTGATGAAGTAGAATTAACGATTGACTAGCATTTCAGCCGCTCGAACTGTATTTGTTATGAATAACGATGACGAAAGTCAGCCAAGTCATATACGGTACATACCGTGGAATGTGGATCAGACCATCAGCCGAATCACCATTGACTTCAGAGTAAGCTAGTCGTGCCTCAGAACGTCCCCCTTTCCTTCTTTGCTGAATGGATTGAAAATCTCGTTTTAAGTTCGCGGAACTCGACAACAAGCAAGGTGTTCTGCTATATTCCGTTCTCGACGATGGCTCCATTGTAAAGCTGTTTGTGGTAGAAGGAAATGGAAATTTACTATTTGGCAACCTTGGGCACATGAACTTCACTCTTGATCCGACACAAGAGTGAGTTCCCTTTATTGTTTCCACTTTATGGCCTCTCCCACCCGAAAAAGACCTGCCGAATGTGTGAGACATATCCAAGAGTTCTCATCAACGCGGAATGGGTGGATGGCCTTTGTCCCTTCATGATCTCACAGTCTATATCTGGTAATAACACCTCATTTCAGGTTCCATTCAGTTTTTATTGGAATCCATCACGGCTCTCGAACTATAGGCTTAGCAGTAGATGGACAATCACAGGTTGGTTTTTCGGGAGTAACCCTCAACCCTCCAACTCCAACGACATTTGTATTTTATCGTTATCACCGTAACAGATAAAGCGAAATATCAGAAATGTAAGCGCTACTGAGTAGTTACATATTTATATCATTCCTATATCACAGAACAATAATATTAACATAGCCGTGGTAGAAATAGGACATTTATCATCAAGGAATAAAGTAGAAGAGACAATGGATCATCACAAGTGGTAAATAGAGTTGTAGCATAGGGTTGTTTTGTTTACAATCTCTGCTGAAGTATTTTTAGATATTGTTCATAAGGTCCTTGGCCTTGTCATGGGACTATTTTGTTCAAAATCTCCACCAGAGCTTTTTCGAAAAGTTCTCTTTGAGACCCTTTTCAGAAACTCGCCCTCCAGAACTCGTCCGTCAGTCTTAGGCTATCATCCATGCTGTTTGGTGGGGCTCCAGCAACAAATGGTACCCGTGAATTAGGCATCACCGCATGTTTGAAGAATGTCTACGTTGATCATTATGACATCATCTATATGATGTATGACAAGGACAAGCGAGTAAGTGGATAATTTTGTCGTGAGATCTCCTTTTACAAATTTTTAGTTCAAACAAATACATTTTAATATATTTATTATATCATGGCTTCGTCGTTGAGTGATGGTGAAAGTCGAAGTAATCAGTCCTCTGGTTGAATCTCTTACCAAAACCGCCTAGGCAGCCGGGAATACAATCACTACTGCTAGTTCCATAATCCTTAGACTCATCACTTTTCCGATTCCTCGTTGGACTCTCTACTTCTGACTCATACTTTGAGAATCTCCACATCATATTCTTTAGCATCACGCACGCTACGGCTTTTTACGAGCACAGTCATAGGAAAACGCTCCGTAGTCACTGAGCTAGAAAAATCGGAATGGAGTTTGTTGGAAGAGCTGCGAAGGCGGAAGGGATGTATACGAGGGACAGGGAACAGTACTTTACCTTATCCTTTTACTCCTCTAACGAATCCAACGGTTGTAAATTAAGCCTTCTGAATTTTTTTGTTGAATTTGTTTTCCGTTACGTGGTGCTGTCCTAATCGTTATTTGATATGAGCCTATCAGGTAGAATCTTCAAAAGTGCTCGGACCATGCAATCGTGACGGAAGTCTTTCGGATCTGTTCGCTTCTGGTGTGCCGATGTTCAGCGCTGATCCAATGCCAAATGAGGTTAGCTGTTAATGGAAATGAATTCTATTTCAAACGAGAGCGCCACGGGCTGGCAAAGTCTACGAAATAGAGAGGGCTTTTGGATGGGAACTAGTGGAAACATAAGATTTTTAGTCATTGTACATATAATAGTAAAAACCTTCATCTAAGATGACTAGATCCGCTTAGAGCCATACACCCTGAGAAGGTTGTGCCATGTGGATAGCTAGACACTTTTGAAACCCACGCTGTGCCCTAAGCCGAATCATTTTCCCTCTGTCTTTTCTCTCATCCTTATTTCATAAATTTTCAGTTGTCCGAAACACTGCCTCTGCAACATGGAATCACTCTCGTAGATGATGGTCCACCCATAATTAGTGAGGATGAATTGAAAAATAAGATAAGTCTTATTTTTACAGCACTTGATGAAACCGTTCTATTTTCTTCGTTCTTCGAACTAACCCTAGTATTTCACGAGTCGAATGAGCTATATACTGATGAAGAAGAGAAACATTAGTGGAAAAAGATAGGGCAGTGCGTATGCCTCACAAGCTGTTCATACATGCTGTTTTCTTGATAGGATTTGGCATTTGTTCCCTGCAGTGCTAAACACATTGAAAGCTTTCAAATTTCTCCGTATTCCATCGAGGGGAGGCGTCTGAATCGCGTTTATGTAGACTGGTTTTCTGGGAACTCCAGGGTGCGCTTCGTTGCGCGCGTCCGTCGAAGCTGGGTCACGTCGCAGCCGTCGTACGCAGTGTGTCTTCCCGCGATCTTTGACAGACGTCGCAGTTGTAGTGGGGCATACGAATTGCGCTCAGACCACGGCAGTCAGCCAAAGAGGAGATAACACGGGCGAATGCAAATCGTTTGCTCCACTGTCACTGGGTGGTACTGTAATGTCATCTTGGGACCTCAAAGGGGTGTACCCTCAAAGGGGGAATTGGGCGGGGTGACCTACTTCCGACGGACACGCGCAACGGACGTTCTCCAGGAACTCCATGACGTTTCGGGATTGACACTCATTCGTTTTCTTTTCTCATGTTTAACTTTACCATCTGTATTTTAAGAAACCGAAGGCGAGCCGGTGGTACAACATTTGGCTGCATCTATTGGAGACTCCGTGAGTTTCTTTTTCCTTACAATTGTAACCACACTACTGCCGAAAAATCGTGAGAGGTAGACCTACAAACATACATCGTCTGTGGAGATAGAGTTACCACCTTCTTCTTTCATCTTTTCAAATGTCTAGTACTAGTACTATGACAACCTTGACACACATGAGAACTGATGTAGACAGTTGTAGGATACCAAAACACAAACAGGCGAGGCGAGTCAATAGAAGCTTCTTCTACTAACTTTCAATTGACTCGAATAACCTCAGTAGAATTGTAGTGGTGGTACCGAGCCTCTAACTGTGAGCCTCTACAAGTAGCTACTTTTTCAGGTACACAAGGCTGGACTTTTCAATGCTGTCCAAACAAGTTCGTCATCGACTGTTTCCTTTAATTTTCTAGAAATTCAATTGCTTTGAACTGGAATCAGAGTGATTTCACCTTACCATAAGGCATCTTACAAATCCGCTTTCTAGAAGATCCAGCGCCTTGTGAAAAATCACAAGATTACGTGTGTCGCAACGGAGCCACATGTGAACGTCGTTCTGGGAATGTGGTCTGCATTTGCAGACGAGGATTTGGTGGGAGGTACTGTCAATTCGGTGAGTAGTGTCTTTTAAAGGCATCAATAGAGAAACAAAGGAGGACACCGGTTAAAAGGTCGGGAGCCGTCCTTTTTTTCAATTTCATGTTTCTCTAGTAATGCATCCAACATCCCATGCCTAGAGTTTCTCAAAGCTGGGGCGGGACCATGAAAAAGTACCTAATTACCTGTTCTCGCCGAAATATGTAATTTCACGCGAAAGCTCCGCCCAGGCCACATCCTAGTGGGCGGAGTTTCTAGGAAAATTGACAAAATTTTTGTGTGGATCTGCCGTTTGAACGAGTGATCATTTTTCAAACAGTATCTACTACAATTTCAGTGCTACATCCGAGAACTTGTGCCGAAGCTAGGACTTTTCATGATGAGTCGTCCGGACCCACTCAGTTGGATGTGGATGGCAGCCGTCCGCTCCTTGGCAGTGTAGCCGTTTGTCGCAATGGCACGTGGGTGTTTCTTTTGAATGACAATAAGGAAACTAGAAAATGTATGGACAACTCAAAAGGAAGCGTGGAAGGACTGACTGGAAGAAGTTTCAGGACCGTTGTGCCACACGATATGCCAAATGGTACGGTAATTCGATCGTCGTATGATCCAACTGATGCAATGTTCATCATTTCATATCGCGATTTCAGCAATGAAAAGCTTGCGAGGTTGGTGATGTTTAGCTTGGTGGCGTGAAGTCCTTTTTTGAGCGCATGGTCATGGGGGCTGTTTCCCCATGTATGCACGGCTAATGTTATCTCTAGATACCTAATAAGGGAAATGTTTGACTTTTTCATCATGATGTGGTGAGTTAAGGAAGGGTAAGGTGATACTCATCTGTGATAAGTACCATAGGCACAGTAGTACCAATAGAAACCGCGGTAGAACCGAAATAAAGCCGAAAGTGCACGCCCCGCCCATTGTGGTGTAGCTCCTCCCCCAGCCTTCGGCTGCTCCATTGGTGTCGTGAACAGCGGCATCCCGTGAATCGTATAGAAATCAGTGAATAATGCTAAACAATACTTCCTTTCTCTATATCAACTTCTTCGGATGTTTTTCAAAGATTCGAATACTCAGGTGTAGAGTTTTTCCAGAGCCTCTTGTCAGAAAAGCTGCTTCCAGATCATTTTAAGAGGCCCTGACTTCATGAAATACTGAAAAAAGTGTAAATGAAGGCCAATTATCCAAATATTTCTCTTCAAACAACGATTTTACCGTGTTTTCAGACTGATACAAAATTCGGGATCGTGCCAACAACAAGTGTACTATGTCTGCAGTCATGCTGCACTCCGGTGAGAACGTTCGCCACGAGACGGCATGTAGTCAACTCATATCCCCCTCCTAATCAATGAAAATCAATGAATAATTTTCAAGGTTTGAATCAAAAAGGACATGGTTCCAAGTAGCCGTTGGGAATCGGACAGTACGGCAGATTGGNCGTGTACCGGACAGCTGTCCTTGCATGGATATGGGATGTATCGAGAACAGTGAGTAGGACTCTTTTTATATAGCTTGCTGATACCAAACATGAAAAACTGCATCGGAAATTTCAAATTTCAGAGAAATGCAATTGCGATTCATTGGCGACGATGACTGGGGATACTGGCTATCTCTATGGAGAAGATGCTGGTGTTATCAGAGTGGTTAGAGCTTTGTGAACCGAATTAAGTAAAAGTAGTTCTGTGTTGCCCATGATGTACTGCAAAATATCAGCCACAAAGTCCTTTTATCCGTTCAATCATTAATCATAATCAATAGTATAAGGGTATAGAGTGTAGAGTCTCTGAGCGCGGATCGATCCAGTTTAGGATGCGCACCGCGTTCGATTTCCAGTCAGAATTGTAGTAGCGTTTTGAAACAGTAATGCGATCTATAAGATGGCTTGTGACGGCCAGTCGATGTATAGGTCGGTGCTTTTATCCTCCCAGACTAGGCTGGTATCCCTTTTCGTCCCACAGGGATGTTAGACTTGCTTAGTTTGCGCGAGAATCGGAACCAATTGATGGAACACCGAATAGAATTTCACTTAAGTGGAGATGATAGGTATATCGCTCCATGAAAATAGGGCAGTAAACGTAGCTTACCAGCAGCTACACCTCCATGCACCTCTCCGGCCGTTCTTTTACGAATTCCGGTGTATCTTTTTCTTCGGTTGGTAAAGTCCCGCATAAATTTGGTTGTCATCATGCCAACAGAAAAACAAGTTAATAAACAATTGCATGGATACCAATATTGAACTTTACGACTGTTCAGGTAGCAATGTATTCGGAAGGTGACGTCGATGGCAAATTGACATTGGGACCACTTGAATGCGAAGGATTTGGTTGGTCCCCGTAGAATTTTGGCTATGTGCCGTGCCTGTGCCACATTCCCTGAATAGACTACCGTTTTAGCTGCCGCTGCTCCAATACGCTTTGCGGAGCCGCGAGCTTTACTCGTGCGTGATTGGAATGGCGAGCCAATATCGCTTCAGTTTCGTACTGCTNTTGGAAGTTCCGGTGCGCTCTCCATTTGTCTTGGTAAATTTCGACATGGATTTGGCTACACCTGATTAATAAACGACTAAATAGATACCGATATAAAGCTTCACGAGTCTTCAGGTGGCAATGCATTCAGAAGGTGACGTCGATGGCAAATTGACATTGGGACCACTTGAATGCGAAGGATTTGGTTGGTCCCCTGTAGTGTTGTGGTCTTTATAGCTGCTACGTTCTCTATATAGACTTCCGCTTTAGCTGCCGCTGCTCCGATACGTTTTGCCGAACCCAGGGCTCTACCCGTACGTGATTGGAATGGCGAGCCAATATCGCTTCAGTTTCGTACTGCTTTACCTTCCGCTACTTTACTCTCTGTCCAAGAGAGCGCTGAGCGATTCCTAAAAGTGGAACTGATTAATGGTCTGCTCCGAACTATCATTTCTTCTGGCTCTATTTCAGTGGTTTTCCTACATTTTTAGGGCATATGATTCGCGCATCGCTGTTCAACTCCAGTGCTACAGTTGAGTCGCAGGCAAGGTTGGTGAAGACCTTATTCTTTGAATTCCTTTAAACACATGACTGCACTAGGTGTTTTCAACATGGGTGGAGGTATCTTGTGATGGGCGTGGTTTCTCATATATCTTTGGGAATGGGATTAGCTAAATGACGCCGACGCCCTCGTATCAGCTCCGAAATTTTCAAAACAGCTCCGTGCTCGCTGCATTGCTGTCCTTACAGTCTCTCAAATAGTTCCGTCTCCAGTCAGAATATCAGAGATCTCTTCCAGGACAGGAAAGTAATGAATTCAGGTTGAATGACACAAAGTGGCATCTACTGGTACTCGAGATAGCAAACGATGAAATCCGATTAAGTATCGATAATTCCAATACGTTCACAGCTATTTCCGAGACAGCCGTTCCAAAGGGAACACTCCAACTGAACGACGATGACAGGCATGTTTACCAGCTGCATACAGTTTGTTCAGTGCAAATCCCTTTCATGTTATGCAGTTTTGTTCTGTTACAGTGGTTTCACTGGCTGTATTCGGTCTCTCATTATTAATGACGAAGCGATTGATGTGCAAGCCATCGGAAAGGGTGTTGAAGGTATGGCAAAACTCCTGTGATCCATTTAGTTGACCCATAAATAATGATAATCCATCTAACCAAAAGTTTATCAATACTTCCCGATTGATGACATTTTACTGAAGATCCTATGAGAATAGCCAGCTTTGTCGTAGATGTCCATCCTTACTGTGACGATCGATGTCATGAAAACTTCTGCCAAAACGCTGCCGAATGCATCGAAGATTTCGCCACAGACTCAGCTGTCTGTCGCTGCCGCTATCCAAATGTGCACAGCGGACGGAACTGTGAAATCGGTAACGTTCTATTCTACTTGAGGGACATTAATCGATTGGTCCACCTTATGTTACGCAGATATCAATCAGAACTCGTCCGTCTCGTTCCACGGTGGTTTTTTGAAGTACGAGCTGTCGCAGAATGCACTCATGGAACAGACAGTACTCTCGTTTCGAACTGATCAATCCCAAGCTTTGATTCTGTTCGTCCATGATCATAATAATAATTTTATGCAGGTACGTTAGTGTTGATTTTATAGCAAGAATTCAGGCTTATTCGAGTTTACCTCCAGACCCATAGTTTGGACTGGACTGGGTGAAGCTTTAAACCTCACAACTGTTAAGTGGTAGAGAAATAGTCTCGTGCGGTCGACATGAAGGAAGCAGGGGTGCTCATTAAAGTGCCAGTAAAAGTCAATCGAGTTTGTTGGGAACCTACTCACTAACACCTCTGATTGAAGCCGATTCGGGTATTGGGCTAGAACTACTGGTTGAACCTGACCTGCTCAATGAACTCAAGCTTAGTGGCATCGCCATGGAGCCCTGAAGTCCAGAATATTCATTTCAAATGAAAATCTTTGAAGCAAGTGATCACATAGTTCAGTTGCATCTTTCTGAAGAAGTGAACCTCACCTTATCGCTCAACAACGACGATATCGTCTCATCTTGTACGGTACGTGCTCGTGACGGAAGCGAATTTGGCAACATGGAATGGATCCAGGTATGTAACCCTTGCAATTTCAAAAATACCAAGAGAGAAGTTTAGACAGAAAATTTCCTTTTCATAATGTAAGGCGCATTATACTCATATTCAGAAATTACAGTGACATTTTTGAGTTGCTCCGTTCCAAACGAGCCGGTCGCGGTCGACCGACTTTCATAAGAGACTGGGAACTAGAGTCTATGAAGACTGATTTAAGAGGCCTGTTGACTGTTACCCTTTCTCCCTCATTGTTTTGACCCCTACGTGGGAGGGGTTTTAGGGGTCAGTCCAATCCGTTACATGGTGCAGTGGCACAGACATGAGAATTGCTTTTTATTGCAAAAAGCCTTGATTTTTTTTTGTTTACACAGTTTCATATCCAAGATTTTGATCTTCTCCCATCTTGCCTAGATGAATGGGTAACCTGAGCGCTGTCAAAAGCAGACTAATAAATGTCACACAATTCCTCAGTTTTAAACCATTTGAATGCATGGCGTATTCCACTGCTATTGACGAGCTCTTAATTTTTCATAATTATTTTCTAATTTTACTAATTAAAAATAAGGTTAGGAAAAAAAGCATTATGTTTTTATATTTCGGATCACAATTGAACATTCGGACGATTCTTCGACGCTTACGGTAGAAGATGATGCTTGTTCCATCCATGCCCAACGGAAACTTGCCCAACGCCCAGTTCAGAAGTTTATCAACGTATTCACAGGTTCGTATTCAATCATTTTCATTACTAATCTTATAATTGTTACTTAGAACTAGATCTTAGCGTAATTTCAGATATTGTGATCATTCCCGTAGGATTGAACTCGCCAGCGGATCCGAAACCGTTCCTATACACATTCATTGGTGGAATCGAAAGGGAAAGCCATTCAACAGGTAACTGTCCAGTGCAAAAAAAAAAGAAAGTAACGCTTTTGTCAAACTTGGCTTAGAGGGTCAAAACTGATTTTGGACCCTTACGTGGATAAAAAGGTGGGTGAATATGTCTACAGAAGTCGTAAACCAGCTCAGGCGCTGGGAATCAAGAGTTCCAACTGTCTGACCTCAGCCTGTCACTCTTGAGTAACTAGGCCATACTGTAACAACCTGTTGCGTGTACTGTAACTCGGTCATGAGGTCTATTTTGGTCATGCTATTTCGACCGTGGGTTTTCCCTGAAACATCTGGAAATAAGCTAGCTTCAAACGCATTTGTTTATTATTTTTCAACTATATCTAGACGGTTCGATGCTGCTTCGTCCGATATATCAATGTGCCGTCCCAAATCTGCTGGGCTGCATGCGAGGTGTTCGAGTCGGTGGCGAAGTGGTCGATTTACGTCATACAATCCATGATTCTGGACCGAATGATCAGAGTAAATGACTCCTTCTTCACTTCATAGTGAGCACGATAACTCGTCCACCATTTCCAGATCTCGTCCGGTCTGGTTGTGATATGGGATGTGCGACGTTGGACTGCCGAAACGGTGGACATTGTTCGGTTGCCTGGCGCGGCGTCGGCGGAAAAGTCGTATGCGACTGCTCGCGGACGAGTTATGCTGGACCGCATTGTACAATAGGTTTGACCCTGCTGTTCTGGCTTTTCAATATTATTATTATTTCTAATTAATCAATAGATCGATAAGTGATTAGTAATGACAATGATGACGACCTTTTACAGATGAAGGCCTCACATTTGACTCGAATGCTCATTTCACCTTCGATATAGGGCGATTCTTGTCCCGTTACATTCTGACCCCTCAAAAACTGACGCAAAAGTTGCAATTTGCATTTGCTCCAACATCTCCGTCTCAAACTCATCAAACTCTTGCCACCGTCTTGTTCAACGATAAGAGGTATGCTGTAGACCAACGAATTAAGAAGGGAAAGGCAACTATCTAAACCATTTGACAGTTGACGTTTTCAGAATGTTCGAGGTGATTCTGAACAAAAATGGGTCCGTGAACGTGGGTATCGTAAATGATGGGAAGAAACCCATCGTGAGGACGTTTCCGGGTAATTTCTCCAACGGTTACCGGCATTTCTTCTCAGCACGGTTCGGTGCACATCAGGCTACAAGTGTAACTGTAAGTTGCTATTCAGGCTAATTTCCTGGTTGTTGTAATGGGATCACCTAGTCTGCACAGAATACTTAAGGTAATACTCAAACGTCTTTCAACTCTAGGGGAACATCTAGATGTCTCTCAATGGGCTGGTACAGATCAAAGATTTTCTCCTGAATATCGCCCTGTTCTCCACTTTTAGCGGGAACTTACTTATGACTATAGAGGGCTTCGTTTTCAATCTGCTCATAGCTTAATCTGTTTGTCTCAGGTGGATGCCGTACGACACGATTTCGACTTTGTGGCTGACAACTTGGACTTGTACAATGCCAAGGAAATCACTTTGGGTGGCCGTGAAATTGAGAAGGACGAGCACCATGTTACCAGCAGCAAAGATAAATACAGTGGTTGTATATCGAGTAAGTCGAGCGATCGGTCATTGGCTTTGGGTCGTAGGCGCTCAGAAAGAATAAAGGAAGGATACACTTTGGCGATAAAGTGTAAAAGAGGGGAGCGGATGTTCGTATCCTACTATAAGAGCAATTTTCCCTCAGTTTCTTTTATCACAACATATTCGTTAAAGAGGGGCTGGATGCCTTTAAAATTCAAGCTCACCTGGTCAAGGTACTAGTTGGTAAGGAAAATAGCTCAGCGCTAGGCATGACTCTGCTTAATAAATTCTGTCTTCATTTCTGTCTCTGCCTTTCTGCCTTCAGATATATTTCCACCTTTTTCAGATCTGGATATCAACTACGGCGTACCAGCTCTTCATTTGACCCCAATATCATATCTGGATGATAGCTTCCCGTCAATGGCGAACTACAGTCGACTTAGTTCTGGAGTCATTGTACCGAAAGGCGCATGTGCTCCGTTCCAAATTCAGAACGTACTACCAGGTGAGCACTTTTAGCGATAGTCGCAACAATCTGCTTTCACAGAAAGCGCTTGCGGTGTAGTTGTGTACTGCGTGAAGGGGAAGATTCAGTTTTTACTTGAATGGTTACGGTGATTTTCGTGAATGTACTACTACTTATCTGGGGGACTCGGGTAGAACTACCGCCATTTGTCACTCAAGTGAGANTGAGCACTTTTAGCGATAGTCGCAACAATCTGCTTTCACAGAAAGCGCTTGCGGTGTAGTTGTGTACTGCGTGAAGAGGAAGATTCAGTTTCACTTGAGTGCTTACGGTGATTTTCGTGAATGCACTACTACTTATCTGAGGGCTCGGGTAGAACTACCGCCATTTGTCACTCAAGTGAGATCTGATGAAGCATTGTCTCCTTATTGCCTAAACCATTCGTTTTGAAAAAATTCATTTCCAGTTTTCCGTGAACCGGTGGAACTGCCAGTTTGGGAAACGAATTTCAAACGACTCGTCTACAAAGAGGGCAACAGTGAAGCGGCTGGTGGTGAAGAAGGCAAATTCTGTGGGTTCGACTGAGTTTTGTACTTCAAGCAACTTATTTACCAAACCGACCTTTCCTGAGTTATCGATTCTTTCAGGGTTATGGACATTATGTATTGTGATCTCATTGATGGTAATTTTGTTAATAGCAACTGTTATCACTTGTTGTTGTTTCTTATTTAGTTCACGGTCGAATGACAAACGTGAGTTTTTTAACTATTTGTTTAATTTTTTGTTTTCATTGGTATAAATAATTTCCGGGTGCCTATAACAAATAATATTTCAGCTATACTTTCTAAAGATGAAGAAGAAGCACAGCCGTTACGTGGTACACCTGTCGCCCCTCCTCCATCTCTTATAGAAGGTGGGTCCATCAGATTCAGACTAGTACTCGAGTGTGAGTCGTAGGATCATACCCCTATTCCTACTGTATTGAAAGATTGCTCTTTGATTTTCGGTGTTTGCCGTGGAAGATCCATGGGTACCACACTATGGTGCCCCTCCTCCAGCTCCCCGTCCTTTCAAGAAGCTCACCAGTTGGCCGATCGTTAATTCTGTTTTTTTTTTCGAGTATAGGGGTTGTGGGATCCCAAATAAGGATTGCGGTAGAGCAAATGAGAAGTTAGCTGCCTAACTCAGAGTGTCACGAGTACGGGGTCTTCCGAAGCAGGGGAATGGTCTGGGTCTAGATTGAAACGGATTCGTCCTGCCGGCCTCCATAGCATCTGCCAACCCTTGGAGCTGATTATCAGGATGAATTTCACGGCTGAGCAGGAGAGCTGCTAAAAGGGGACTGCAAGTGGAATGGCAACCATTTATAAGAACAGGGGTGGATGCCTCGATGCCACGCTTTCCTGCTGTCTCCTAGAATCTTCCATATGGACCTAATCTTTCAGAATCTGCAAAAAGCAGTCCGAAACGAGTGGTCATATCAGAGCCGTTGAACAAAACTTATCCGGACGATACGAATTTGCCGTTTGAATTGAAACCGGTATGTTCTCTTCTACATGTTTTTATTTTTACTTTTTTAATTTTTAACGTCTTTTTAGTTCCAAGCATATGACTTTGATGCTGCGTAGAGTGGGTGCCGTCAGCAACAGCTCATCCGTGGAGCTGACATATATGCTTTTAAACTTCCTTATCCTTGATTAGCCTGTAGTAACATAGTGTAGAACGGAATAGTGGCAATGGAAAGGTGTGCTAGTAGCCGTCAATCTCTCTGGAAACCGTTGCAGAACGTCATACCCGTCGATGACGATTCACGTAGCCGTCAAGGCATTGTCAATGTATGTCACGCCAATGTACTTGACCACGCTGACTCCATTATTCATCGTGGCGCCAGTACACGTCTGCTTTCTCAGTTTTCTCATGAATCAGTATAAGATAGATATCCCCCATGAGTCAATTGATCAGTATAGGCCGCCAATGACCATTGCTTGCAACCTCGCTGTAATTGGTCATCCGTCTCTGGTGAAGATGCATGGAGATGTACAGATGTACAAGTAGCGCTGCCTAGGCGAAACCCGGTCTTTAGGCGAATGGCACAGATTTCGTTTACTTTGCTTTCTTGCGACTGATATTCTAGGCGAACAAACTTCAAATAATAAATGGGGCACCTCTAAGCCGTTTTCGCTCCGACAACACATTGAATTGAAAGACTGAGTTTTTTAAGCTAGGATTTGTTCATAACATTATATTGTATAAAGAAATGAAGGTGGTGTAGGGACAAGTACCTAGCGCATCATCGCAGTTCATGGTCCGGATCTCGGATCAATACTCTCCCTGGCAGCCGAAGCTTTTCATCCCTCCGGGATCACACAATTGGTACAAAACTCGTCTGAGTTTATAAAAAAACTGACTTGTACATCGGCTAGGCATCATAAGTTCTTGTATGGGCTGTGCTCATCCAGTACGCCATTGCAGTTTGAATGTAAGTGGAATGCAGGGCGCATCCCAAATCAGGACTGATTTTTGCTGGGTCTATCTTCTTCTTTTCTGTTCTACTGAACTTTGAGGAAAAAGGAAATCGCAGCAGAGCAGCGTCTTCACCAGGATTATCTGATAGCTTTGAAACCGAAAAATCATGTAAAAAGATGAGACTTCTCAGTTGACAGACGAAAAGGAGTACCGTTGTATGTCACGGCGCTGTAACTTCAAAGCCATGGCGACCATTGTCATAAAGTGCCCCATCTTTAGTTACTCTCATTCCCAATTAGTGTAATTAGGTGTTTATTCGAGGCTTCTATCAAGTTTTTCTAGCTGTCTGTCAATTAATTTGATAGGCGAGAGAAGAATTCTCTTCAGATGCGCACCTCCACACCGCTTGCCCCTATTGCCATGATTGACGAAGCAGACTCCCTGACTAACTCCAAATTGTGATATACAGCCGTCGCACGGTGACCCGACTGTGCTCAACTCATCCTGATCCTCTTCATTTCCAGTGATCTTTGCTATATGTATAGTTAATGTATGGATATCAATAAAATGTCGACTAACGACTTTATCAAACACATAATGGCAACCGTATTGTTTGGTGCTTATATTATGCTTAAAAATACTCCCACTATGGCTGATTTCCTAAATGCCTAGCATCTTTATGAACTGCTTGATTTGAGGGGACACGGGTCAAGAGGTGCCATCGCCACCGCAGCGCCACATCGAGGTCACTGCGCGTGTCGCGCCGCGCGGCTGGGGTGGGAATACCGTACGTCTGATCAACTTAATGGCAGATTCCTGGAACTTTTGACAGGTCAATCTGCAGTCGCCGCGCGCGGTAATTCAGTTGTGGCCTCGCTGTTGATTTGTTGGCACCTCCTGACCCATGCCCATCTTTCCAAACACAACTTCAGTGCATCTGGAAGCCCGTGAAGTATTGTCAGCTTACAATCCTACTTACCATTCTATCCAAATAGCATAGCTGAACTGGCCAGACCTATCCCTATTGCTACGTAGACATAGTCGTAGTGCAGCTACTTTCGTAGGTTACACCGCGTTCGTCTTTCCAATCCGGCATGACATCGTTTTACACTGCTCAGGAGAGTCTATCCGGGAACACTACCGATCTCGAAGACGAAGACTTGGATTCAACGTTACGTGACATTGGCGAGGAAGACTATGAAGTGCAGGACGCGGTGTAAGTGAGAAGGTTCAAGAGGCCTTTTGCTTCCCTGATGATTCTTCATTTCAGACATCCATCCACGTTCGATCGCACCTCACCACGGATGTCTTCGTTCAGGTGAGTATTCGTGTATCTACTCGGTTACCCTGGAAATTAGGGTTAGAGGGATAGGACGTCGCCCAATTCCCTTTGCCCAGCCTTTTTTGATATCAGGCTGACGTAGGCCAATTCCACCTGCATGGAATTTTCTTGCAGAAAAGCCACTGGGACTTCAGCCCGTGATATTATTTCTTTTGAGCCCTTCAAGCAAGTTTTTTTCAGGCAAGGCGATCCCACCGCACCGAAAGACAGTCCGCTTTACGCCCCACCAACTCCTGTACGCTCAGGACGGCCGATTCCGATCCCAGTTCCTCCGCCACGGATCTCTTCATGAGTTTGGCTAAACCCATTTTTTCAGCAGTAGGTACTCGACCAGTAAACGTGAAATATGCTTTACAGAAATATTGAAAACCTCCCATCCCTTTGGAATACGGTAGCTGAATCCCTTCATGATTACCTCATTTCCAACAGCTCCAACTTTTGACCTGACTTTTGAATACTGGCAAGCTCGAGTATAGCTTTATTTGAAGAACTAGTCAGTATCGTGCCTTACCAGAAGTATGAAATATTCGAACTAGCCATATCACTTGTAGTACCCATCATTCTTACGTTTAAGTAACTGCCGGTCATGTAGCAGTATTACTCTTACTTCTTCGTATTGCCAATGACCAGGGGTTCAAGTACCAGATGTAAGTATCTAAAGTAAAAATTGGTTCTTCTAAGTCTTACTGTTTTACATTGTCGCTCATTTACCCCTTCTGTTTGCGCTTGAACTATTTATTCACTAAGCTCATGACCCACTCTCTTACTTTCCTCCGGCCTTTATTACTGTGCAATAAGTTTGTTGACATTGTTTCACTTACAATTGTTTATTTATGTTTTTAAGTTGAAGTCAATAAAGCTGAAGTTCTCTCGTGTTCGACTACCCAAACGCAATGGCGAAGGTAGGTGAGTTGTTGAGGTTCGACGTCGCCCAGATGGCGACCTATCTGCCGTCCACCAAGGATGCACTGATTAGAAGGCGTCACATATGGGATACCTGGGGGCCGTAGATTCATCCTAGGGGGATATCTCGACAACCACCTTTGGCATCTCATCTCATGGAAAAGGGTGAGCAGTGTGGCAAGAGGTGCACTCCACACACGCACGGTCCAAGGTTGGAATCCCGGATGGGTCCTTGCTTAGGCTAATCGAACGTTCCATCCCTCCAGGGAAGATTAATCGGTACTAGACTCGTCTGGGAGAATAAAAGCTCTGTCTTGTACATCGGCTGGCCACAGCAAGTCGCTGTATAGGCAACATACGCATTCAATATGCCACTACGATTCTGAATAGAAGTCGAATGAGGAGCGCATCCCTCGGACGGGATTGACCAACGCCCAAAAACTATATCATTGCGTGTCAGCGCGTCACCCTCATCATCCCTCGTACGAGCATCACGTTTTTATTGGGCCGCTCTGTACAACAACTGGAAATACGCATTTTATTTTATTTACTCGTTTCTATGGCATTCCAGGGAAAGGGTTAATAGTGCCATTCAAGCTGAATTGCAATTGGGCACGGAAAATGAAATCAGTTCAAAATAGTATTCGTTTAAGTGCAATACCAGACATAGAGCAGTGAAATTATTAACAGAGAATTATAATACAAAAAGGTCCTTGGGTATGTTCAGATTTCCACCAACACTGATGAATGACTTGATTTTTCCTTTTCTATCACTGAATCCATCCCTGCATGTTTAGATGTGTCGGCATTGTCGGACGCTTTCATTCCAGTCCGTTTCAATTCGAAATCTTCTCTTCTTCCTATACGTTCTATGAATGTCTTTATCTTCACGGTAGGATACTTGCCGGGGTTTTTCCTTGTGTCAACTAGGGATGTCTTATCGAGAAGAACAGCCGGGGAATAGATCCCTGGTGATGTCACCAGCGTATCCGTTCCACTTTTGATTGACTGAAAATGATCAGGGTTGCTCAAATTTGAAGTATCTACCGCCACTTTTAAACATTCCAAAAATATAAAGAACTTTTTGCGAATTAATTCAAATTGAGCAACCAACCGCGTCTCCCTGTACCTCTTCCACTGCTGAAACAGGTCTTTTTAATTCAATATCTCTTACCGAAGGATCCCTCACAATTGAAAAACTAACCTGTCGTTGTGTTTAGAGCATCTACTGCAGCCAATTCCTTTTTCTAAATATTGAAAATTATTTAAGGAGACCATCGGTGGAACCTTCACGGTAGAAGTGGTTCTTGAGATTTCTTTCTAAGATGAACTAGTGCCCAATAGGGATAGCCCAGGGGACGCTGTTGGGTCGAAAAATGGCCTAGTAATAAGGGCACCGAAATCGATTTATCCGACGAACAAACCCCGAATTGGACGAGTTCTCACGGCTACGCAGAGTAGAGGCTGCACCATTCGCACCGATTGCATGCAGGCAGTTAANGCTCGTCCAAGCCCCTTCTTAAAATTGATACCCAAATTGTCATAAGCTGTGCCCTTGGGCTTATCGAGTCCTCCGAATTGACAATATGCCACGGGCTACTTTGTTGGGAAAATTTGTCAATGTCTAGGTACCTCTTTATTTACAATTCAATCTTCAATTTCATTTACACTTACCTTTAACCCAATCGCATACATCACATCGGCACAGACTGAGGTGGCCAACACTCCCATCGTCAATGCAAACTCCCCTAAATAATCCCGTCAAGCGCAGCGACCTCGTATGCTCAGAAAATACTATGTCCTGATGGTATATCGAAGTTTTGGAGCAACGTCACTTCTACCTACACCATGTTACCCCAGAATTACACCGCTCTGTGGTATCCATACCCTAAACTGAAGTGAGTTACCGGCTATCCCAATATTATCTATGTTAGCGGTATTTCGCAATGATAAATAGTGAATTTCAGTGATTCTACTTGGTTCACCTTCGAAACACTGAAATCCTAACAAGGGATTCAGTTCACCAGTTGGGCCTATTATCTGGGTCCCATCTATAGTAATACTGGGAAGCGACCACGAAAACTATTGTAGAAAATCAGCGGATGACTGTCGGACCGCACCGAAGAGGGTCTTTGAAGCGCTATTCCAGGAAAGTGAGCTTTTAGGGATGGAGTAGGCAATCAAATGAAAACGAGCGACCGACTCGTCGCTTTCCTTCTTAAGAGCTCCCAGAAGTCCGGATTAGTCAAGAAGAGCTGGAATTGCATGAACTCACCTACCATCCACCAATCTGATGGGAAATGAAGTTGTACAATAACCAACCTGGCAGAAATCTCCTAAGCAACAATTGCTATCATACCAGCGTTATCAGAAATCAAATGTAGCAACAACAAATAAAAATTAGTAGCAATGAACAATTTTTATTGAACAGCCGGCAATAGATTTAAGGATGCCTCCAAGTTGACTATGGTTGGTAAGATTGGTAGACCATGTACACCTATCTGGGCAATCTAGAATCTAGGTCGCCTAAGGCAGCACGAATGTGGTGAATCAAGCCGGGACCCTCCAGTTTAAGGGTCTTGCAACGAAAAGTGAGAGCTATGTAATGGTTGCTTAAAAAGCCGGCTAATAATCGCCTAAGTGGCCCCCCTTCCCCAATCCGTCTCCGGTAGGAAGCAGCTTCAGTGATCCTTTCTGTTCCCTCTTGCCCACGAGTCAGACGTTGATGTATTTCTACTCTCTTTGCAATTACCAAATCCCCAAAATCAACTGAAAGTCATGATCCCATGGCTCTACAAGTTTCGTTTACTCGCCATTAATCCGCTGACCCCCTCCTTTCTACTTTTCAACAATTCTTTGATCGATATAACCATTTGAAAAGGCTCTCCTTAACTCATCCACCTTGACACGTTCTCTTCATGGCTAATCCACGCAGGTGGAAACTGGACCTAATGTCATCCCAGTTCGAGGCAGTCATACTAAAAGCTGGTGAACGCCTACTCTATATATCCAGGGCAAGGATTCCAGAATAATGTTATGATTGTGCTGTTACTGCAAAAAAATGCACCTCTTTACCGACCAAAAAAAGTGGGCGGTGCTTGAATCAGAAGCGAGTTATTCGGTTTCCGTACAGCCTATCATGGACAGAACGAAGTCGAATAACACTTG